TACTCCATTGTGTAAAAGTACCACATCTTTTTCAACCATTCCTCAGGTGATGGGCATCTTGGTTGTTTCCAAGATTTGGCTATCACAAATTATGCTGCTATAAACATAGGCACACATATGTCACTATGATATGATGTTTTCAGATCGTCTGGGAAAATTCCCAGTAGAGAAATAGCTGGTTTAAATGGGATTTCCAGTCCAACTTTTCTAAGGAGTCTCCATACTGATTTCCATAAAAAGCCTTTCTCAAACACAAGGATCAGTGGAAATGACTAAAAAGATAAAAACAATGTGTTCTGGAAACCTGTGATTCAATGAGTCCTATAGATAAAATAAAAAAAGAACAGCAGAAAATAGGTAAATAGCTTAAATAGTTAAAAAGAGAATAGCAGAAAAATTAGCAAACTATATTGAATATAACTGCTAAAGAAAGCTTACATGGTTAATAAGAAGTGAGCTTAGTACCATGAAGTTAGCAACAGTACAGAAAGTGATACTCATCAGAAGTGTATGAAAAAACTCAAGCAAAAATAAAACAAGGGGTTAACACAATAAATTTCACAATGCAGATGATTACAGAACTGGCATCATGTTGGGAGGAAAACAAGTTAGCTGTAATTATAGAGGCAGGAGACAACCATGACTAGTCAATGCAGAAATAATAAATACTGGAAATTCTGGCACACCCCTGTAATCCCAGCACTCTGAGAAAATGAGATAGGAGATCTCAAGTTCGAACCCAGCCTGGGCAACTTAGCAAATTAAGGACTCCACTTTGAAACAAAACATAAAAAGGGTTGGGATGGAGCTCAGTGAAAAGATCCTGGTCTAAGCCCCAATACTAGGAGGAGAGGAGAAGATGGAAAATAATTAGCAAAAAGAAAAAGAAAGCATTCAAATTAGAAAAGGTCAAATGAGTAAGTTAAGAAATAGTAACACATTTCTTACTAGTTGCTTACTCCTAATTGCAGCTGTAAATCTCCGAGAAGTGTAGCTGCAGGAAAATGATATATACATAAACTCAATATAAAGGCATTAGGCCGGGGAGATGGCTCAGTGGAATAAATGCTTCCCTGGCAAGAATAAGGACCTGAGTTCAATCCCCGGTTCCGCCAAAAAAAAAAAAACCCTATACTCAAACATAAAAGCATTAGCACCATCAACCTAATGATGAATCATTAAGACCTGATGGAGAAAACTTGGAAGGATAAAGAACTTACCTGAGCAAGGCAGAAAACTTTATAATAAATCACAGGTATATACTACTAGTTTGAAGAGTAGCCTTCACCCAATTTTATAAATTAGTGATAAATTCCTGAACCACTTTCTTGTTCTTCCTTATATACTTACGTGATTAGTCTAATCATTTCATAAACTCCAAACTGACATGCTACATTCACTTAAATATGATCTGGTTTCATAAGAGTTGATGACCCTGGTCTTTATAAATAAAACAAACAATGGGCAAGTCAGCAAATTTTTATAGTATCTTACCCCTAGACAAAAAACGTAAGAAAATAAACTATTCAGGAAATGAAGCAAACAGACATTGCTACCCACTGATCTCCTAAAATACTTACCTCAACAGTTTATGACCATTAGTTGTGGCAACTTCAGCAAGGCTTGTTAGAATCTTTAGATACTGGCTTTCACTTTGCTGAGACAAATGCTCCAGAACTTGTCGTAACTATATTTTTTATAAATTAAAAATATGATTAAAGACATGAATTTTATTTAAAAATTAAGTACTTATTAACTTAGTATCTTAAAAACAATTAGCTGAAATCAAGAACTTTACATTTATTTTGCCATGCATAAATTTAAGAGGTAATATACAGATGAGATGACATAAACCTGACATAAACCTGCATTCAAAATCATACAGTAAAACACAATTTAAAAATATAAAGTAGAAATCACCAAGTATATTCATATTCATGAAAATTTAATTTCAAATTTCTAAAATTTAGGGGAGTTTTAAACTATAATTTTTTAAGAGTAGAGATGTCATAAATACAAAGCTCAGAGCTAAAGCTGTAGCTCAATGATAAAGTATTTGCCTTGCATACTCAGGAGCGCTGAGTTTGATCCACAACACGACAAATGGAAAATAGAGTTAAAAAAAAAAAAAAGGTTCCCAAAACTAATGATTACTAATCTCAACATGATACGGCCCCTCAGACTCTTCCTCTAGCCATGGGGAATAATTATAAGAGAACAAAGAACCAGAAATACAAAGAAAATTCAGAGAGGAAAATATAAACACAAAGTTTATCAATCACAGACACTCATCCCTCAGTATCCGTGAGGATTAATTCCAGAATCGTCATGGATAACAATATCTGCAGACACTCTAATCTCTTACATAAAATGGCATAACCACTAGACTATTATAACCTGTGCACATTCTCCCATATACTTTAAATTATGTATAGATTACTTATAATGCAATGTAAATACCATGCAAATAGCAACCATACTGTATTGTTTAAAGAATAATGACAAGAATGCATAGTTGCCATTTTTAATAATATTTTTGAGCTACAACTGGTTAAATTCACAGATGCAAAATGCATGGCAAAAGGGATAACTGTAATTCATACTTACCCTATAATTCAGGTAAGCAAACACAAGTTATTAAAATATTTGTAAAAATAAAATTACTAAGCATATTTATAAAGTGTTATATATGCTAAGCAAAAATAAGGCTATTTACAGGTTATCTGCACAATTACATTACCATGTTTTCTCGGAGGTCTTCATTCTGTGTCATTTGAATAATAGTCTGGAAAAGCCTAGGGTGATACTGAATCAACACTTCACAAGTCTCTCCATATCCACCCTAAAAAAAAAAGACACAATTATTCATTTTTCAAACAGATTTCTGGGGTGAGGGGGAGAGCAGCAAACCAAGAATCTCATTCAGGACCTTGTGCTTGCCAGGTAGGTGCTATGCCACTTAGCTATTTCCGCAGCCCCAAATTTCCTTTTAAAGGTCATAGTCTTTATAGAATAAAAATCTTTCTACTTATCATATTACACATAAGAAATAAATTATTTTACCATTCTCAGTTCCTGTTATAAAGGGCCTCAGAATATACACTAAAACATACCTGTACACATAAATCCAAAGGAGTTACTCCATTTTTATCTGGCAAATATTTGGCTCCTCGTAATAGAAGAATTTGTGCTGTATCTCTCTGACCGTGACTATAGAGAAATAGAACCAAGTGAGAAAATAAGGTATTTTAATTCAAAGTTTCTCCTATGAATTATGGATGGTTAATATAAATCAATGGAATATTAATACTTTAATAAATTAAGACAGAAAGATATGAACTACATCTTCAGCAACCGAAAGAAAAATGTTTAAAATGTCAAGTCACAATTTTACTAATTTAGTTAAGAAAATGATCTACTAAATCTTAGAACTGAACTTAGGTTATATTACTTGTAATAAGTCATATTTTGGGATGAGCAACTACTCAATCTTCTGATTAACTTTTTCTTTCCATTCACTTCTGAATTCCTTTTTCAACTCTAACCCATCCTTTCTTCTACCACACATATCCATGCCTTAAGATTTCTTAGTCCAAAAGAACCTCAACACACAAAACAAAAATATATATAATGGCACTTTAATATGATATTTTAAAAGAATAGAAGGAAAGAGAATGATGGCCCAAATTAAGAACTGAAAGGAGGTAAGTACGTGGACCTTACTAAGACAGGAACATAGTCTAGGTTTCAACATTCATCAATGCACTGTGTAGCTTCTGCTGCCAGTTATTCAACCTAGTCTAGAATAAAAATATGTCCTATCCAGATGCTTATTCTCTGATTGCTCTTTGATGTAAAAGTAAAATCACACCTATCACCTTTCCAGATAGGACCAAGCTACACTGGGGATAACAATCACAAAATTCCAGGTCTCATTACATAAGTTCATCTCATTCTAGACATAAGCAATAAAAAATAAATTGTCATTCCAGAGACACTGAAATTAAAGGTCGATTTTAAGAAGTGACCAAATGTGCCACATCAAGACCATCTAACCCAAACTTTACTTTGTACATGAGAATTGCAACCAAACCAAGCACAGGTGACGTTAGAACCCAGATCTTTGGTCTTCTGCACCAATACACCTTCTGTAATAGTAACTGAAAAGATGTATCATTTCATGAAAAAAGAAAAAGACTACATAGATTTCTCAGAAATAAAAAAAAAGTAAAGTACTATTCATTCTATTCCAAGCAAAACAGTACTATGTAAAAGAATAATTTATAAACAAATACGGGCAGGGGAGATAGCTCAGCAATCCAAGAGCCTACCTGGCAAACACAAGGACCCAGGTTCAATCCCCAGCAACACATGCAGTGCAGGCCCCAGAACCCCAGGTGTGCCATGCTGGCACAGAAACCAGGTGTGGTGGTGCACACCTGCAATCCCAGCAATGGGGAGGCTGAGACAGGAGGAGCACTACGAGTCTGAGTTGTCTAGCAAGACCCCGTACCAGATAAATAAATAATAAATTTTTCAAAAAATTTTTAACAAAGTAGAATTACTTTTTAAAAAGTATAATTCTAGGAATCTAGTGCCACAAAGTCCTGTAAGAATCATAAGATGCCCTTCTGCCACAGCAACCATTGAAGAAGAGTAGCCACGGCCCTCTGCTATCCTATGGCCGTGGGCCTCAACAAGGGCCACAAGGTAACTAAGAACGTGAGCAAACTGAGGCACAGCCACCGCCGCAGACGTCTCACCAAACACACCAAGTTCGTGCGGGACATGATCCGGGAGGTGTGCAGCTTTGCCCCCTATGAGCGGCGTGCTATGGAGCTGCTCAAGGTCTCCAAGGACAAGTGTGCCCTCAAGTTCATCAAGAAAAGGGTGGGGACGCACATCCGTGCCAAGAGGAAGCATGAGGAGCTAAGCAATGAGGAAGGCAGCTGCCAAGAAGGACTGAGCCCCTCTGGAATAAAGCTTTGCATAAAGTCAAAAAAATAATAATTACAAGATGCACAAGGATAATCAAAATAAATAGTGAATGCTTAAATTTTTAAAATTGCTACAGTAAAACACATTGCTATTAATCCCTCTCAAAATATTCCATCTAGCTTTAACATACTTATCCCATCATTTTTGCCACTTTCTGAAACAGTTCTGGAAGTCCTCTTTTTGTTTTTACTAGCTTTAATAAAAAACATAGGGAATGCTACTGCCAAGTACCATCCAGCAGGAAATCAGACCCATAAAAACATTGTAGTGTGTCTTCAGTCACCTTATTATTCACCATACCTGGCACTGTGCGACTTCTCTCTTTCCCAAAGTCAAAATGACCACAAAAGTAAATATTTTGAACTGATTCAGGACACTGTAGCAGCCATGAGAACTCAACTGAAGATACTCATGAAAGAAGACTCGCACAACTACTTCAAAAAATGGCAAGAGTCGGGGAGATAGCTCAGCCGTAGAAGCATCTACCTGGCAAGCACAAGGACTCAGGTTTGATCCCTGGTACCACATGCAGTGCCAACCCCGTGCCGAGCCAGCCACCAAAACCAGGCATGGTGGCACATGCCTGTAATCTCAGCTTAGGGGAGGCTGCGATAGGAGGATTGCTATGAGTCTGAGCTGTGTAGTGAGACCCTATACCAAATAAACAATCGATCGCCAAAAAAAAAAAAGTACCAAGAATGGGATAACTGTGTTAAAAGTAATTGGGAATATTCCAAGGGGGATTACTAGCAATATGTCTTTTACTATAACTTTTTTAAAAATTTAATGTTCATCATATTTTTCTATCACACTTATTGTATCAGTCTCTTAATACTTGATAATTACCTTTATAATACTAATACAAATATTTTGGAATTAAAAACAATACCAAATTTACTCCAGTAAAAAAATAAAAACCAAGAAATCAAGGAAATCAGCAATTCCTCTGAAACCAATGATTAATTTACTACATAAGAAATACTCATTTAGCAACATTTGTCATTAGCCTGATGGTATTGGACAAGATAAACTATAGTAACTATATAAACTCCAGCTAATAGTGATCACTTAGTAGTTTATAGTATTCTATTCTTTATTGCACCTAAACATAAAGGCTAAGTTAAAAAGTGACTATCTGTAGTTTATTTAGAAAGACAGTAATACTTTTGCTACAAGTCAAAAATTTATATTTTTATAAAGCTACTCAGTTCAATTTTAATGGAATCTCTTTTTACAGCTATTTAATATCCATGTGTCTAATATTTCCAATTAAATTGTAAACTTCAAGAAACAGATGCTTCACAGCATGACCATGAGAGCTAGCTTATAACATATCTGATATACTCAATAAATTATATTACAGGATTTAACTTTACATACTATTCTTTTGAAACAACATTAAAGAAGACCATATACCATAGAAAAAATGACAAGCAGAAGCTGGATGTAGAGTCACATGCCGTAATGAAATTTTCTAAACTACCCTGTCTATAGCACATAAAACTTCCATTTTAGAAGGGGTCCTGCCCCTTACCTGAGGAAGGAATGATGCACAGAAGAGCCCCAAATCACCTAAATAGACAGGCCTTTTGGGTTTCCTCACTCCATCTACTAGCATTAGGATTAACCCTTTGGTCCAATCACATTTCTAACAGTTGCTCATGCTTAACCATGCCTATACAATAAAGTCTTCAATAAAACCTAGAAAGACAAGGCTTGGGGAGCTTTCAGACATCTGAATAGGCAGAGGCTTCAAAGAATGTGAGTAAGAATTCATTCATGGCCCAGAGATAGCTCAGCTGTCTAAACCCCTGTCTGGCAAGCACAGGGGGCCAGGTTCAATCCCCTGGGTTTGATCCCTGGGACTGCATGCCATGCCAGCCCAGCCCTGGGTGCACCATGCTGGCCACTGAGATCAGGCCTGGTGAAGCACACCTGTATTCCCAGCTCTGGGGAGGCTAAAACAGGAGGATCACTACAAGTCTGAGCTGCATAACAAGACCTTGTACCAAATATATAAAATAAAAAATAAAAAGAGCTCATTTATGTACCAGGACTCTAACATACTCCAAATCTACAAGAAGTTGAACTGGTAGCCAAAACTTTCAGAAGCTCAGACCTGTGACGAGCACCCAAAGTGGGAGCAATATGTGGGGACTGGGCCCTTGTAATGCCTGGCTGATTGTGTGTCAACTGGAGAAGTTTAGAAGATTGATCAAATCAACTCAGCAATTCTACACCCTAGGGTATAGCCTGCAGGGATATAAAGAAGAAATGAAGAAGGACAGACATGTTTTTGTCCTTCAAAGGAGCTAGTCTTCCCTCTCAAACTGGACATTCTCTACTGACTTCCTGCAGAGACTCTTTTCTCTTCTGTCATACATTCTGCAGCCTTCTAGCATAGACTGCTTGGATTCTTCAGCCCTCCGGGTAAAATCTTCAGCTTTCTGTCATTGGCCTCCTGATACAGACTTGCATGGGCACTGCAGTGAACTCTAGACCTTGGACTGAAATGTTTCACTGCCCATGCACAAACACCTATACTCTTCCTCATCCAACTTGGTGGGTGACCATATCTTAAGACAATTTTGTAATTTCTCATATATTTGTGTATCTTGGTTATATCTGTTTCTGTAGTAAAACACTGACTGATACAGCCCTCACCCTAGGATCTAACCCCAGGAAACTCAACTGATGGCTACTGCAGAGTAAAATGCTTGCTTGTTGATGAGGAGAAATCTCCAAGTCTTAAGATTACAAAAACAATCTGTGTGTTCAGCAATATAGGCAGAGACACTAAGTTTGAATTTGTTTTTGCTGTGTCCATAGATCAATTTCCAAGCAAAGGCAGCTGGCCAACTCAGCACACCATGACCAAATACTACAACAAACAAATAGCTATAGCCAATCTGCTGGGCTAGAGCTCCGTGAACCTCTTTTGGGTCTTAGTGCTACCCAATTCATATATTACTCTTGTGCAAATAAAATGCTAAACATAATTTACCTGAATTTTTTTTTAATTTGAACTTTTCTCCAGTTGAGAATACCGTAGCTCAAGAATAAATGGGAATGTTTGAAATCCACAGTTATGAAAGAATTGAAGCAATACTCAGGTATACCTGAGACTGTACAGCGCAATTTA